GGCTATCAAAATTGAATTCTGACTTTACTATTATTCCTTATGGTCTTCTCCATAATTCTCTATAGTTTCAAACATCGATTGATATTTCTAATTATATTTTCCTCAAAATATTAACCAAGGGTAAAATCATCCAAATATTCTTCTGACAGTTATTTTCTTCAAATAATCAGAAAATTATTACTAACAGATAATAACGACAAAAATCGTCCTATCACTGATCCTAACGGTTATTCCAATGGTCATAATATTGTTCATAATAACTAAGGGCAAAATTATCCAGTCACTATTTTAATGGTAAAAAATGACTAGTTTTTACCTTATAAATAATTGAGTTTTCTAACCTTCATGTTCATCCACAAATTTCACTCTTTAAAAATGTTCCTCAACAATCTCCTTCTTCTTAATTTTTATGATGATAGTTTTTTAATAGCTATAAACTTTATTATGTTATCCATCATCATCTTCTTACTTATAGTTGTAATTATGTGTCACTACGACGCTAGAGCATGGGATCAACATGTACAAAAACATTGAGTTGTACGAGAACATCAAGATTCATTTTTGTATTGTACTTTATTATAATTTCATCATTATAAAAGTGCTTTATTTATTGAAATATAAAGCAGGATGCTACACTAAGCAATGATTGTGATTTGGCCAAAATTACATGCTTTTGGAGTAATGAGCTTGATCTGTGCAAAATCCATGTGGAAATATACACCACACGCCCCACGTAAAGAGTGGAGAACCCAATCTCAATAAAACTATAATACTATAAATAAACCCTCTTGTGGTCAGCTTCATGCATTCTAAAAGTATTTGTCTCCTTTCTTCATTATTGTATGCAATCTTTTATTGCCTCGTTTGAGAATTGTCAAGCACACCACTTTGGTGTTTGGTAGTTAAAGGGGAGAGGCTCGCCAAGCCTAGCCCTAAAGCTCGACAGACTTAAGGCCGGCTCGGCCTACCCCATAACTTTATGAGGTATTTTTAAAAAAAAATTTAAATACATGGTATTTAGGTCGTTCTAAGCTTGCCGGAATAAGGTTTTGAACTTGAAACTTCAACCCGGTCCAACAATAACAGGCCTTGGACCATTCCGTTTGGCCTCAGCCCAAACTTACAGCTTCATTGATAGTTTATAATCAAGAAGGGTAGAAATGAGAAGCATCAGTCATATTCTTGGAGCATTCAAGAATTTTTCTAGAAGATTTGTTGATGCCCACACACTAGTTGATTCAAGGAAAATGGAAATAATAAGAAAGATCTAGAGGTTTTGAAATATTTTGATCATTCAAAAATTAATTGCCAAATAGGTAATAACAATCACTAATACTAATTTTATATAACATCATACAATCGGTCATGGTTAGAAAAACTTAAATCCATTATGCTGCGTGTAACAAACTTCTCACAACTTTTCTAACAATCTTGCGAAATATGCCTAATGTTACTATTAAGAAAATAATTAGCAAAAAAAAAGTACGTCATGTAAATAAATACATGGACAAAAGTTCAAGGATGTCTAATTTAACGGTTTCAATTTCAAAATCTAACAGAGGTACCATCCATAGGATTTATTTTTTCAGTTCAAAAACTATTTATGGGAAAAAAGTGACTGTAAAAACTAATTTTAGAGATAAAAAAATTGCTCATGAATTCATTCCTAAACTCAATCCAAATTTGATAATTTCACAAAGCCAAATTCCTACAGTATATATACATAAAAATATATAACAAATTAAAGTTATGATTAACAATAAGGTGATTTTTTGGTGCGCCTGACATATTGGTAAGTCATATTTTTTTAACCATTAATTATGCGTTTTTTTAACTTTTACGTGATTTTATGTAGATCTGACGGACATAAAACTTAGCATGCCGATATATTAATGTACTAAAAAAAGTCTCATATAAATTTTTTTTAAAAACTAAATAGTAGATATCTTTAAATATGTATCACAAATATTCAATTTCATTTAAACGGAGGGATAAAAAAAACAAGTGTTCCAAGCTTGTCTTTCGTTTTCTCGTCAGCCGGAGAAAGGTGATTCGTTTAATCTAAAATGGAGAAGGGAAGGAAAAGCAACCAAAAGGAGGTGAGACCTTTGTTGTGAAAAATAAAAGGTGGAGTTGTAGGATGTTGGCCGGAGAAATCGTTGGTCTAAAAGCAATGATAACCCCATAAAGTAACGCACTCTTTTTTTTATTGTCGTAAAACTTAAAGAAGTCAAATTTTATGGGTAGAGATGCAAGAACGGGTCAGCTTGGCCCGGCCCGGCTGACCCGTTGTCCTTAGGCTCCTGTGGGCTGCGGCCTGGGCCGGCCTAGCCACAAATTTTGTGGGCCGGGCTGGATTGGCCCGTATAAGAATGACCTCGGTTCAGCCCACACCACGGACCAATTTTACGTGGACTAGGCTGGGCCGTGCCGCGGGCCAGGATGGGCCGTGTCACGGGCCTTGAATGGGCCGGCCCACTCAAGGCCCATCATGGGTTTAGATGGACGAGCCCATCTAAGCATGTAATTTTTAATTTTTTAATTTTTAATTTTAATTTTTAAATTTTTAAACAAGTTAACAAATATATAAGTTTGAATAGTCAATGTAAATATGAAAAATGATATTTTATTTACGATTACCTCAATAAATAAAAATCTTTCTAAGGAAAACTCAATGGGACATAGCATTGGTAAGAAAAAAAGAGTACAATAAGGATAATTATACATAAGATGTTTACAAAATTACTAAAAAAAAGAAAAAAAACATAAAAATATTATGGACCTAGATGGGCTGGGCTGGATCGGGCCATTATAGGCCTAGATGGGCCGGGTTGGGCTGGTCCATTATGGGCCTGACGGGCCGGCTCAGCCCGGTCTGGCCCATGATTTTTCATGGGTCGTGCGGGCTGGCCTATAGGCCGATATATGTTGGCCCAACCCAGCCCACTAATATTTATGGGCTGAACCGTACCTTGAACAATGACGGGCCGTGCCGGCTCGGCCCATCATTGTGTCAGGATGGGCCTGAGCCGGCCCATTGTTGTATCTCTATTTATGGGTATGAAATTTCAAAATTAGGTGTTACAGTTTAACAATTTGTTTTTTAAAAAGGTAATATGATTTAAACCTTTTGTAATAAATGAAAAAAAGTAAAAAAGATGCAGGTTTAGATAAAAAAGTAAAAAAAGATATAAGTATAGATATCTCCATCGATAGTGCTATAAGTTTTATTTTTATTTCTTTAATACTCTACCAACAAATCATTCTTAAAATTCATTAATTCCCTCCAAATATTTTCTATTTAAAAAACATAGAGTAGGTCCCGATAATCCGATGTATACATGTAATCATTTTCTCATAAAAGGCAACAAAAAAACATTTACGAAAAAAGGAAATAATGATATAGACGGGTGACCAAAAAAACAATTAGTTAAACAACCCTCTATTTTGCTGAAGAAACAATCTTCTATTTGAACCCAACAAGTTATTAGATGAAAAAAAAAAATTTCTTGTCAATAGGAGATGAACTTTTTCCGGTTTTTAATCCAACTTTTACCGTCAAATTGAAAGATAAAAGTGGCTGTCTATTCTTTCTGGGTAATAAAAGTGTTGACCTAATCAATCCTAGGTGCAAATAGAATCGTTGTAATCGTGAAATGCGTGTAAGTTACTGTATATTACTGAAGTATATTGTTATTAAAAATCAAACGTAAACTTTTAACAAAGTAGTATTAATAGATGTATCAATAATATATTTAACATTTAAATGTAAAATATACTCTGTAATATAATGTTATTTGTCTCACAATTTAGCATATAATAAATTTAACATTTAATTGCTATTAGTTAATATGTTTATGTTTTTATTTAATCACTGCAGCATTTGTATTTTCAAACAAATTTTTAAAACTTAAAACTTTGCTTTTACAATTTTTAAAACTTAATAATTATAGTAAAAAATAAATTATATATTTGAAATAACATTATGGATTAGAGTATAATGTTTGTTATCACATTATATATTATTATCACATTTTTCAATACTAAATATACAATTGACATTAATATTTGTTTTGAGATAATTTTAATCCGTACCGTTTTCATATAATTCTTTTTTTGAAATGGGGTTTGATATAAAAATTAAGCTTAAGTTTTTACCAAAAGTAATATTGAGTTGCTTTATAACTAATAAGGTTAATCTTACAAATAGTTTATGAGATTTATCCAATTCCACTTTAGTTATTGCATTTTAAAATACATTATAGTTGGTTCTTGAGATTTTAATCTATTTTAATTTCGGTCATTCTGTTAGCTTATTGTTACATATTTGACGGAATTTATAGAAATTAGAGACTAAAATTTGAAACATATAAAGTTTAAGGACTAAAAAAATACAAAAAACTAAAAGTTAATTTTCACATATAGTCTCAAGACACATAGTTAATGGAATCCATCAAAATTTAACTATAGTTAACGCAAAGATTGAAACTAAAACAAAATAAAACATCTAAAACCAACTGTGATATGTTTAAAAAATCATGATTCAAAGTGAGATTGAAGATAAAACTCAAGAATCATTTGTGGAATTAACTCGAACTAATATTCTTATAATTCACACCCGTTTGAAAAATCAGTGTCAAAGTGAGATTTAAAGTGGTTCATTAGTGGAATTAATATGAACTAATAGTTTAAAGTTCCGTTCTTTTCACCGATTCGAGTTTTGCTACAATAAAAAGTTATCAGAAACAGTCACATTTAACTTTTTTGTTACAGTAAAAAGTTTTTATATAAAGTCAAATCTTAACTCAAATTAAAAACTCAAATCAGCGAACTAAACAGATATTATAGTAATTCACTCCCGAGATGCTCAATGCTCACAGTGGCATTCGGGTTATAACTTTGCACCATGCCCACCCGTCCATGGGCCACCCACGGGCCTTCTCCAGCAAAAAACCATATTCAGCCACTTGGAAATTAATTATTACTATCCAGTAACCAAACAAGATTAAAATCCTTTCTAACAAAACATTAGAAATGCAGTCGATATCTGCTCCTCATCATCCGTTGCCCAATTGTTTCAACCATTTTCACTTCCACCATCTCATTCCCCACCCAACCAAGAAATTCACCCTCCAATCCTTTCCCAAACGAGACGTTTCTCACTCCAGAAACCCATCTTCAATCCCTCTAGCTCAAGCCCACAGCTACATCAAACCTCAAGAAAGACGTCACAAAAGCACCGAATCCGACCCATATCAGAACCCCCCACTGGTTCTTCAATTTTTCTCTTCCACCGGCAACAACTCGTCGGAAAACCTAGACCCAGAAGCCCAAATTGGTGAAAACGAGGAAGAACAAGGCAACGGCGAAACCAAGACCGCTAAGGGACTTTTCACAAACATGTGGTGGGTGGACTTGAAAGCCGCCTTGGGACAGAGGTTTAACACCGGTGCGATCGTTTGCGCGGTCGGAGTGGTCGTGAGAGACCGCCATTTGGCTCTCCCTCACGTCGCCGTGAAGGATATTGGCTACATTGATTGGGAGGAGCTCCGGAGAAGGGGTTTCAAGGGCGTTGTGTTTGATAAGGATAATACTCTCACCGTGCCTTACTCGTTGAGACTTTGGGGTCCTCTCGCGCCTTCATTTGAGCAGTGCAAATCCGTCTTTGGCCCCAACATTGCGGTTTTCAGTAACTCTGCCGGTAATTTTTGCACATGTTTCATATGCCAACTTTTCTTGTTTTTATTATTGTTGTTGTTGTTGCCACTTGAGGCTAGCTCAAGTGGTTGGATGTGTGAATGTGTACATGTGTCTAAAATCTTGGTGGTTTCATTTCCTTGTTGAGAAAATTGGTGAACTCACTTTGAATGCATTGTCTTAAGATTTTTACCCTTTATTCTTGATTAATACCTTTTATTGATATAATGCTTTGATTAAAGGGTATTAATTAAGTGTAAGTAATAAAAATCTAAGACCTATTCATTCTAAGGAGTTTTGTTAGTAAAGTAGAAGCTATAGGCAAAACTAAGAAAAGTTGTTGTTTGAGAATTAGATGTGATAGTTCTTTGCCGTCGAGAGCAATAAAATCGAAGAAGAAAGGAATAAATAAGTACATAAGATCTTTAGTAATTTACTTTAATATGAATGATATGTCCATTTTCAACTGCTGCAGAGATTTAGTATGACGAACAAAATTGCAAGAAAACCATAGGCTTCATTTCCAGTGCCCCCCTGGATATTTGAATTTTTGTATATGTTTTCTCAAAAAATTTCCATATATGCCCCCCTTATCAATAAAAATTTTAACTTATCCTCACAAAATCGAATCTCAAATTATTTTATTTCTTATTGTTCTTTTGATCTTTCCTATTAAATCTTATACTTTAAATGTACCTAACTAATTTTTTTTCTCTAATTTATTCTTATGAAAACAATTTTTCTTTCAAATTGGTCCCTTCTAAAATATTTTTGGACATAATCTAAGCTATATAAAAAATTTCACGTTAAAATATTTTTTCTCAAACTGTGTCCCTAATTAAGAAATTTTTTTCAAACCTTCTCAATTACGACTTTCTCACATGCACATTTTCTCTAATTTACCCTTATTGAAGTAATATGTATTCATTCAAATGTGCCTTGCATAGAGATCCTTTTTTTCCTCTTTTGGCACTTGCAGCTACTATTTTCTCATAAGTATTATGTACATGCTAAATAATTTTTCTTATCTAATTTACTTGCTAAAATCTTTATTACTCAAGTATGTTCAATAGTCTATACATATTTAGTATTTATCTAAAAATATTAGAAGTTGATTTTATTAGCATTTTTCACGTTTTTAGTTTAGGCCCCGTAAAATTCTGGCTCCGCCACTGCTCATTTCCCCTCCGACTCTCGAACTGGAAAGTCTAAAATACCCTAACTAAAAGTTTAATGTAAGGGCAACATAAGTATAATTAGGTCGATGTGCGTGCCGTCTCTGAATCATGCAATTATTAGGCACCAGACCCTCAACAATTATTACTTGTTTGGGGTCTTTTCGCCAATGTGTTGTGTTAATAATGCCCTTTTGATATGATTGTTTAGGGCTGTATGAGTACGATCATGATGGTTCAAAAGCTAGGGTGCTTGAGCGGGCTATTGGAATTAAAGTCATAAGGCACAGTGAGTATTTATTTATCAATTTTGAGCTTTGATCTTTTTTGCAAGGTTTTGAATTAGGTCCATTCGTGTTACATTCTCGAAAGCGATGACTTTTCACATAGCATTTACGTGGTTATTTCTAATGTCACCCTCTAGGAGTAAAGAAACCGGCTGGGTCAGCAGAAGAAATTGAGATGCACTTTGGTTGCAAATCATCTGAACTCATTATGGTATATGAGAATCAAAGAGTTCTTAAACTTTTGTTGGAGTTTTTATTTTGGATTAGGCTAATGGCATAGTTATTTTATTTAATTTTTGTGATAGGTGGGTGATCGGCCCTTAACTGACATTGTTTATGGGAATATGAATGGTTTTCTGACTGTTTTGACTGAGCCTTTGAGTCTTGCGGGAGAGCCATTCATTGTCAGGCAGGTTGGTTCTCCTTTCTCATTTTCTCTTGTTCTTTTATGCTGATTGCAGGTGAGAAATGTGCCTTTCTTGTTCACCACCATCCACTAATACCCACTGCAAACACAGATAACGTAAAGTGTTTGTCCTATTTGCCATTTGGATTGCTCATTGATTTTTGCTCATGGTAATTTTTGTTAGATTATGTAGTGCTGATTTACTCTTATCATATAAATTCTTGTAATGTGTGTGTTGTTTACGTCAATCCTCCCTTATTGTTGACTATGGGACTAGCCAATTGTAGTTTTGTTTAAGAATAGGAAATATGAATTCCTCTATTTTGCCTGATGGCTTCTGTAATTATTTGCTTTCATGATTTATTTCATCATCTTAGTGTGCTTCTGCAGCTTATTAATAAATTCATTTCTGTTCTCTTTCTTGTACTTTTTTCAATTGTTTCTGTTTTTGACAAGCTGTAGAGGTGTGTTCGCTTTTTGTTTCCCTTCATAATCTTTTTCTATTTATGGGGGTGATCCTACTCCATATGACGTGATTCTAGTGGAAACATTTTTATTGGCTTTCTTGTTTTACAGTAAAACATTATGGGCTATCAGCCTTTTTCCTATCTACCGTTATTGATGCCATATTGACATCAAACTTTCTCATAAAAGATAAAATGATATTCAAGGGTAATTTAGACGGTCACTGATTATCTTAAAGGAGATATAAGTGGAATTGGTGATTAAAGATAAAGTGAAATCCCAGGAAAATTGGTTCATACCACAATTTAGAATGAGAATTGCCTCCTAATTAGTGTATGATAAGCCACTGCTTAGACAAGTGTATATTAGGAGGAATAAGAGAGGGGTAGGAGCGGGAAATTAGAAGGTGGCTCGGGTGTGAGTGTTAGAAGAGGGGGAATTAGTTAGAAGTCGGTTAGCAGAGGGGTTGATATAAATAGGAAGAAGGATTATTGAGTAGGCAGGAAACTAGTTGTTGAAACTGTAATCAGTTCTTGAAAGTCTTGGCTGTGACCAAGCAGGGGAGACTTGCAGACCCTCGAAGTCTGCTGTATACTTGTAAATCTTCCATTACTGAATAAGAGAATTCTGGTTCTTCCTCTTTGTTCCTAGATTTTCTTTTGATCAGCACAGGCTTAACAATTTGGTATCAGAGCGTTGTTCTGGGAGATGGCTGCGGGCAAGAAAACGGAAGAAAAGTCTGAATCCATGGAGAAGGAGATGCAACAGATCATGGCTTCGCTGGAAAAGGGAATCGATGAAGTTAGGGCAGAGATGAGCCAAAATATGGCGGATCTGCGTCGTTTCATGGAGGAGCAGTTGTGGTTACTGACGGCGCAAGCGATGACAGGATCGAGGGCGGAGGGATCTGGAACCGTCGCCGTTGGAGTTCGTGATGGCTGCGGGGTTGGGGTTCGCGAGGGTTATGATACGCAGGCCATGGGGGAGCGACGCGAACTTGTGGGTCAAGTGGAGGAATTTGAGCACAATTTGGGGAATCGGTCAAACCTAGGGTTTTCGCTGGTGAAGGACGTGGTGAGTTGCGTGGAGTCGGCGGCGGTATTGATCCGATCGGTGGAGTTCTTCTGCGCGGAAAGGAGCGAATTGCGATTCCTAGGGCTCATGAAGGATTCCGCTTGGGTTCTGTTTGGGAAGAGGGTTACCAGGCGGCGGAGGGTGGATTCAAATCGAGAGTGGATGGACGTTTTGAAGGACTCAAGGCCGGCAAGTCTGTTTGCAGAGGTGGATGGAGAATTTTTGGAAGGAGAACAGCGTGGGAGAAGGGGGAGTTTGACGGGAGATTTCCGGGACATGGAGTGGGTCTACCCGAGGATTTGGAGGGCTACAATGGGGAGTTGCCAGAGCTGTGGGGGGAGGATAATTGGCCACCGGTGAGAAGGAAACACTTGCATTATCCTATATTTAGTGTTGATGACCTAGATGGTTGGGTGTTTCGAATGGAACAGTTTTTCTCCATCAACCATTTTTTGGAGAAGGAAAAAATAATCACAGCAGAAGCCTTGGAAGAAGATGCTCTCTCTTGGTTTTAGTGGCAAAATAAGCGCCGGCCATTTGTCAATTGGGCGGAATTCAAGGTGGCACTTTTATAGAGGTTTCGTTCCTCACAAGAGGGGAATTTATGTGAGAGGTTCTTAGCTCTGCAGCAAGTGAGCATGGTGATTGAATATCGTTGAAGGTTTGAAGTCTCCGCAGCCCCATTACACGATGTGCCGGAAGAAATTCTGGAAGGTATCTTTGTCAATGGATTAAAGGCTGAAATTAGGGCGGAGTTGCGGCTTCTTAAACCTGCGGGGCTAACTGAAATCATGGACACAACACAACGAATTGAGGAGAAAAACATGCTGTTGTGAAGAGATATGGGTGTCTATCGCCTAGGGAGGTAACAGTCGAGTGGAAATGGACTTGGAGGTGTGGTGAACCAGCCCCCACCTGGTTATGGAATGGAGAAACCTGAGAAATCAAAAAAAGAATTTCCATTTCAAAAGCTTTTCGATTCAGAGTTACAAGAAAAGCAGAATCGGGGATTATGTTTTCATTGTGATGAGAAGTTTACGGTAGGCCATCGTTGCGAGAAAAAAGAATTGAGGATCATGTTAGTAAGTGATGAGGATGAGTGAGACATGGATGCATTTGATTTAGAGGACTCCAAGGCAGAGGCGGAAGAGATCTTGCAGCCGGAGGTGATTGAATTGTCATTAAATTCAGTCATGGGATTCACTACACCGAAGATAATGAAAGTCAAGGGGGAAATCGGCCATCGTGAGGTAATAGTTCTAATCGATTCCGGTGCAACACAATTTCATTTTCGTAGCTTTAGTTTCCAAGTTGTCATTACCGATTACTCCTATGACTGGTTTTGGTGTGCAAATTGGAACGGGAGAATCAGTGCAAGGACAAGAAATTTGTAAGGAGCTTGTGTTGGCAATGCGAAAATTTACTATTGTGGAAAATTTTTTACCATTGGAATTGAGAGGAATCGATGTAATTTTGGGCATGCAATGGTTAGAAACCTTGGGTAGTATGCATGTTAATTGGAAGACTCAAGTAATGAAGTTCAAAATAAGGGGGGAAGGAGTTGTTCTACAAGGGGATGTTAGTCTTGCAAAATCGGCAGTTTCTCTTAAGGCAATGATGCGCACGATTCGCCATGAAGGCAGCGGAATCTATTTGGAATTGTGTTCCATGCGGATGGAGGAGAGGATGGATAAGGGACCCGAATCTAGTCTGCCGCTTCAGTCACTGCTGCATAAGCATAATGTTGTCCTTAACATGCCGACCGGTTTGCCTCCTCATAGGGTGAAGGATCATCGTATTATTCTACATGAAGGTACAGCCCTTGTTAAGCCCAAGCCCCTACAGACTTATGTTAGGCGTAGGGTTAGGGGGCCAGATTAATCTTTTGGTATTTTATGGATTTAGGGCTTTAGTATAAAGAGGGCATTAGCAAGTTAATTATGTTTATGCTGAGTTTTGTCAAGTTATTAGGAATAATTAGGAGTTTTGGAGAGATTGACCTACCTCTCGAATTGTAGGTCAGGATTTGTCTTTAAGTTGATTTGATTAATAATAATAAGCCCTAATTCAGCCCTAATCCTAATTGATTCTTCTCTAAAACCTATCATATCCTCACTTCCAAAAGGATGAAATTGAGCGTTTGGTGGGAGAAATATTGGCTGTTGCTTGTAAAAGAAAAAGGATGGCAGTTGGCGATTTTGTGTTAATTACCGAGCTCTTAATAAGGCAACAATACCGGATATATTTCCTATTCCGGTAATTGAGGAGTTATTGGATGAGTTGTATGGGGCCACTGTTTTTACTAAATTGGATTTGAAGTTGGGGTATCATCAAATTCGTATGAGTGATGCGGATATTCCAAAGACAGCTTTTCGTACACATCAAGGTCATTATGAGTTTCTTGTTATGCCCTTTGGACTTACGAATACCCCGGCTACATTCCAATCCTTGATGAATGAAGTTCGTAAGCCCTTTCTATGAGACTTCGTGTTGGTTTTCTTTTATGATATTTTGGTGTACAACGCTTCTTGGGAGGAGCATTGGGTGCACTTGGACATGGTTCTTTCGGTTTTGGAAGAGAATCATTTGTATCTTAACCAAAAAAAGTGTGTTTTTGCACAAGAGCGTTTGGAATATTTGGGGCACATTGTCTCCAAGGATGGAGTTTTGGCAGATCGGGGTAAAATTCAGGCAATGGTTGATTGGCCTATGCCGAAGTCGCTTAAGGAGCTGCGGGGATCCTTGGGCCTCACGGGCTATTATAGGCGGTTCGTGGAGGGCTATGGCCGCATTTCTTAGCCTCTCATGCAACAACTTAAAAAGGATGCTTTTCATTGGAATTCGGAGATTGAGGAAGCCTTTCAACGGTTGAAGCGTGCTATGATGGAGGTACTGATGAGTACATCAGGGATGCAAGGAATATTCACAATCCGATTCAAGTCCCAGTTGGTCCGGTGATGAGGTATCGAGCTAAAAGGTGTAAAGAAGAGTTAAATAACCTAGTCCGGAGAGTTCTACAACAAGAAGAGAGAGTGTTCACTACTGAGGGTGAACAAAGGCTGGTAGTAGTCATCAAAGTCGATCTGGAAGAAAGCCAATCATTTGCATGTCATCCCATGATACACGTGCAAAGGAAAGTCCAAGAGGCTTTAGGCGCAATTTCCAGCAAGAGATCATTTCAAGATTGCGGATGAGGATTTGATTTCATTATCATTCTATCTTTTTAGATTTAAGTTTTAGTTTAAACATTTAAATTGCATAATAGGCATTTTTAAGGAAGGAGTTAGATTCAAATTCATATTCCTTCCCTAGGAGTTTTCTTTAGGCGTGTTATCTTATCTTTAGGTGATTATCTTGCTTTAGGCGTCTACCTCATTAAGGGTATAATAGGACTTTTACAATTTTTAAACTCTTCATGTTATTCTCGGCTATTTAAGGCTGAAATTCGATTAATAAAAAAGTTTTGATGTTTTATTCACATTGTGAGATATTCTTCTTGAGTTCTTGAAGAAACTATTCCGAGCTTATCAAGGTTTCCTTGTAGCGTTCAACTTGAATTATCAAACGGATTTTCCGTACTCGTTCGTAGCGTCTTCACCATACCAAGGTTCTTGCTTTGCTAAGCAACGGGTCGCGGTTTCCATCAATTCTTGATAGATCTTGAATCGTAATTTCATATTTGGTTTCAGGTTTCGTCACGTTGTTGGCGGGGTTCGTATCAGGTACCAGTCCTTATTTTACCGGATTTTTCTCAACCGTTCGTGGTGGAAACTGATGCTTCAGGGTTTGGTATTGGCACAGTACTAATGCAACAACAACGGCCAATTGCTTACTTTAGCCTAGTCCTTTCCACGCGTGCTCGTGCGAAGTCGGTTTATGAGAGGGAGCTCATGGCCATAGTCCTCACCATACAAAAATGGCGACACTATTTGTTAGGGAAGTGTTTTATTGTGCGGACCGATCAAAAGAGTTTAAAGTTTTTGTGTTGGTTTTCTTTGATGATATTTTGGTGTACAACGCTTCTTGGGAGGAGCATTGGGTGCACTTGGACATGGTTCTTTCGGTTTTGGAAGAGAATGATTTGTATCTTAACCAAAAAAAGTGTGTTTTTGCACAAGAGTGTTTGGAATATTTGGGGCACATTGTGTCCAAGGATGGAGTTTCGGCAGATCGGGGTAAAATTCAGGCAATGGTTAATTGGCCTACGCCGAAGTCGCTTAAGGAGCTGCGGGGATTCTTGGGCCTCACGGGCTATTATAGGCGGTTCGTGGAGGGCTATGGCTGCATTTCTTGGCCTCTCACGCAACAACTTAAAAAGGATGCTTTTCATTGGAATTCGGAGGCTGAGGAAGCCTTTCAACGGTTGAAGCGTGCTATGACGGAGGTACCAGTCCCTTATTTTACCGGATTTTTCTCAACCGTTCGTGGTGGAAATTGATGCTTCGGGGTTTGGTATTGGCGCAGTACTAATGCAACAATAGCGGCCAATTGCTTACTTTAGCCAAGTCCTTTCCATGCGTGCTCGTGCGAAGTCAGTTTATGAGAGGGAGCTCATGGCCATAGTCCTCACCTTACAAAAATGGTGACACTATTTGTTAGGGAAGTGTTTTATCGTGCGGACCGATCAAAAGAGTTTAAGTTTTTGTTGGAACAACGTTTGGTGAGTGCGGAGCATCAGAAATGGCTTTGTAAGTTGCTTGGTTATGATTTCGACATCCAATATAAGCCTGGAATTGAGAACAAAGCTGCGGATGCTTTGTCTAGGCAGCAAATGGGATTACAGTTGATGGTTTTGTCCACTCCGAAGGTGTTAGATATCGCTGAGTTGCAGAAGCAGGTTTTGGCGGATGTGGAGTTGGCCAAAATTCGGAATTCCTTGCTCCAGGGCATTTCTACTCCCAAAGTGTACCCTACAGCGCGATATCTTAATCTATAAGGGCCGGTTAGTTGTTCCTTCCTGTTCTCCACTCATTGAGGTGTTGTTAAGGGAATTTCAAGGATCTAAGGTGGGTGGGCACCTATAAAAGGTTGGCTATGGAGTTCTATTGGAAGGGTATGCGGCAGGACGTGGAGTCTTTTGTGGCTGCGTGTGTTATTTGTCAACAACATAAGGCATCCACTTTATCTCCGGGCGGGCTACTGCAGCCTATTTCCTTGCCCCACCAGGTGTGGGAGGATATTTCTATGGATTTTATTGAAGGACTGCCCAAATTGGAGGGGTACGACTCTATTTTCGTGGTGATTGACCGCCTCAGTAAATATGCTCACTTTGTTGCCCTTAAACATCCTTTTTCTGCCAAAACAGTGGCAGCATCTTTTGTTTGAGAAATTGTTCGCTTACATGGTTTCCCAAGGAGCATTATTTCAGATCGTGATAGAATATTCTTGAGTAATTTCTGGAGTGAGCTTTTCCGGTTGCAGGGCACTTGTGTAGGAGTACCGCCTACCATCCTCAATCGGATGGCCAAACGGAGGTTGTCAATAGGTGTTTGGAGGCGTATCTACGTTGCTTTGTTTCAGGTGCACCTCGGCAGTGGTATAGGCATTTACCATGGGCAGAATTTTGGTATAACACGAGTTACCATGTCTCAGCGGCTATGACTCCGTTCAAGGCCCTCTATGGCCGTGATCCTCCACCATTAGTTTCTTATGTGCCTGGTTCCACCGCCACTTCTGAGTTGGATTTGCAGTTAAGTGAGCGAGACGCTTTGCTAGCGGAATTAAAAGACAATCTGCTTAACGCGCAACAGACTATGCAGGTGCAAGCTAATAAGAGCAGAGATGTATCCTTTGAAGTAGGCGACTTGGTTTTTCTCAAGCTGCAACCTTATCGTCACCGCTCTTTGGCGCGCGTAGTTAATGAGAAGCTTTCTCCTCATTATTATGGTCCCTTTCCTGTGATTGCTCGCATAGGACCTGTCGCTTACAAGTTACAATTGCCGGCTCACGCTAAATTGCATCCTGTTTTTCATGTGTCTCGTCTGAAGAAAGCTATTGGTCCAGCGATACAAGCCCAATCATTACCACCTATTCTGGCCGAGGACTTAACCTTGCAAGTGGAACCTGAGCAACTCATGGATACGCACTATTCTCCTACAACCGGCAATTTGGAAGTGTTGATCAAATGGCGCCAGTTCGAATCCACCTGGGAGCCTTTCGACGCCATCCAACAGCAGTTTCCCACCTTTAACCTTGAGGACAAGGTTACTTTTTTTTTTGG